CTAGTCGCGTTCGCCGTGGGAAGCAAGCCCGCGGCCGCAGCCGCGGTGCCGTTCACCGTCGCGCTATCTCTCGCACCTCGGCAGCCCGCCAGCTGCTCTTGCGGATCGGGTCGCGGGGCCGGTGGAACAGAATATGGAGCCTGTCCCAGCGGTGCCAGCAAGCTCTCGCCAGCGGTGCATTTCCTCAGCGCGCCTCCCCTCGGGGGCTAAGCGCGGCCACCTGCGTGGAAGCTTGGCCCCTCGCTCCGATTTGGCCCCAAGCATCGGGGCGCGACTGCTGGGCGATCTCGGCTCGCGATCTCTGCGGGGGCCGCTGCTGAAATAAGACCCCCACCCGATCGTTGAGAACGCGCTGAAGCATCCATCATCTAGAAACAACTCAAGCCACGCGATCCGCCCCTCGTTGGAGCGCAGCCCCAAGTGCGAGTCGACTATCCACGTGGCTGCGCACGCGCGCTCATCGCGCCGCATCTCCGACATGCCCCTTGCCGCCGCGATATTTTGATCTTCGGGAACGGGGGGCGCTAGTCACATGCCTCCAAGAGGCGAGATCATCTCTTTTGAACTCGCACCTCACTTCTTGACCCCAACATACCTGTCGTTCACACAACTCTGACCAAAACCAAGAAACTTCTCCGCTCCCGCGAGAGCCATGGCCGCCGGCCGACACGATGCCTACCACCCTGGCCTGGCCCAAGAGAGAGAACGTCCGAGACCTGGCCTGGCTGTGGCACTTGCGTCGCGTAGCTCTCCGGGGCCTATGCCGCGGCATGGCTGGCGCAGTGGGCGGCGAAGTCTCTGACAATGCCTCGACAGACCCGTGGGATCCTGAGACAGACCAGGTAGCCGCCATCCATGCCTTGCACCGAGCTGCTGCCACTGAGAGCCCTGTGTGGGTAGACACATGATGTCGTCAGCCACCCTTCTGTATAGAAGCCGCGAGTTGCCCATCTGATCAGAAAGCGCCACTGGCAATAGCAATCACAAAGCACAGCACCCCGGATCCTCGAACTCAACCGTGCGGGCAATACTTCGTGACCCTTTGTGCGCGATGTTCGTTTAGCTGCCGCGCCGAGCTTCGCGATGCCCAGGGCCAACACCTCCTCGCTCTAGATCAAGCCCGCATCCGCGAACACCGCTCGCAACGTGGACTCGTCTGCCTCCTGAAGCGAAGGAAGCACCGCTGGAATCGCAACCGCAGGCTGAAACGCCTCGACCAACGCTTGCTGCGCCGCTGCGGGCACTTGCGGCGCAGGACCTCATGGCACCACCAGCGATTGCAGGTCTTTTGCCTTGACAGTCTTGTCCAGCAACTCACCTTCGACGCCGTCCACCCTGAGCGCCTGCTCCAAAACAGCCACCGTGAACAACTTCCCTGTGCTACCCCCGGGCTGGTAAGATCAAAGTTCACGGGGCCGTAACGTTGAAGCTGCCAGTTTCGCCCGAGTAACCTCTTATGTAGCCTGTTGCCCACGAAGTTCCGCAACATTTTCCTTCTCTGCCTAAGTCAACGCCTGGAGGCGCTAGAGCTCCTCCCGCCGTTTGTTGGCGACACCCTTCTGCTGTATGACTACGCGAAGCCAATTGTTGCAGCTTCCTTCTTGGCCTCCGATACTTGGGCACCAGCTTGTTTTCCTTTCGTCGCTGAACTTGAAATTGGCCGCTTCGCAGTACGGGTTCAATTCTGGCGGGTCCCCACTTAGAACGGAAACGTCACGAACCAACGGCTCAAAAATCCGCGGCAATTTTGTTTCAATAATTGACAGCTGTCCGTCTGGCTGTTCAATGTCAGACAGTGGTCTATCTTCAACATCCATGGACATGGCACGACCATGCGATGACCTCATGCAGATGTGTTATGCTGTTGTTCGCGCACTTTTGATCGTAGCTTTCCCAGTTCAGCCTCCAACTTCTTGGTGGCCCTTTGTAGCCTGTCATGGCGTGCCAATGAAACGTTTTGTGGGGACACTGTCGTCGCCGTTGTTTTTGCAAGCGAGCGCTGTGCGAGTGTGCGTCTTACAATGATCACAATGCACGTGAATGCCAAACTTGCACAAGACCTTACCTTCGCTAGGGCCCCAGCTGTCACTGCAGTCTTTGCAGTACCAATACGTTAACACGTTGTTGCCCATCGTGATCAAACATAACCAACCAGAGAAGACGTAATGCTGAACAGTTGCGCCGATGGAGCGAAATGTACCACCTGGAACATGCTGGCGCGCGCAAGACGTGGTGGGGGCAGCGACATCCCCTCTGCCAAACAGGCCAACCTCTGAGCGAAACACGACGGACTTGAGCCAAAATGGCGACGACCTCCTCCTCCTCCTCCTCCTCCTCCTCCTCCTCCTCCCTGCTGTGGTTGCTGCTCCTCGTCTTCGCCTATCGCGTCCCTCCGCACAGAAGACGAGGGAAGAGGGGGATGGGGAGGATGGCCAGGGTTTGATGGGGGCTTGGGGGCGCTATGACCCTCGAAGGCTCCCAGATGCCCCCAAGAGGCCGTAAGACCGCGCGAAACCCGAAAGAGGCGCTCAAGGAGGCCTCCAGCGAGGTCTTGGAATCCGCCCAAACCACGACAGGTCGACGGAGATGTTGTGCGCAATACCGCTCAAAGCAGGGCTCCACCACTGTCACAAGAATAGCCCAGACGGCCCCAAGAGGCTTCAACCAAGACCCTTCGGGATAGCTAGAACCATCGCGCACAAGACACCAGTTCAGCAAGTGGCGCCACACCTGTAAATGCACCAAACGATCGAGCAAACATGCATGATCAGCACCAAGCGTGAACACGAACCGCCGAGGGCACAACCGAACGAGGCAAGCGCTTCCCATCCACGTGCGGCAGACTCGCGCCGCGATGACGCTGGTGTTGGCCGGCCTCTGACACGGCGGCTTCCCGACGGCGCAGATCGTTCGGTGTCAGCCGATCGTGGGCCGTTGGCAGCGTTCGAAAATTGAGCGCCCGCGCTGGGGTCACAACCGCGCCAACGTGGGCAATTGGCGGCGTCTGACGTTGAACGCCTGCGCTGGAGTCTCAGCCGCGCCAGCGCGACGAGACCCTGCTGCACAGACACTTTTTCATCACAGGAGCCTTGGCAATAGCAGTGAAGCCCGTTCGGGCCTCACTCTCCCCAAAATGCACGAATGATTACACATGAAAAAACATGGGACAGACCCGCGTACGTATCCAAGGAACATTCGGGCCCTTTCCAAAACCAACATTGACCTTGTCCCAGAGCTTTGACTGCAATGATTTTGCGAGCAGAGCGCGCGAACTTCGATCCTCGAACAACTTCGACCAAAATCCGCTGGCTGGCGATCCCCTGGACTCCTCCTGTGGTTCACCGCAGCCAATTTTCAGAAAGCTGCGTCCAGCCGAGGCGGCGAGAACTCCTAGGAGCCTCAAATCGGGTTGGACGGAAGGGGGATGGGGGATAGCGAACCAGCTGCACGCAACCAATTCCTTGGCGCCTCCAAGCGCGGGAGGCGGAGATGTATCGAGGAACACGCTAGGCGGCGGGGCCGAAGCTGGCCACGTACACGGAGCTGATTTCGCACTTACCACTTAACCCCTCCTTTCCCGCTCTCCTTTTCGTCCGACCCGAACAGGCATGCCAAACAACGTCGTCGTCAGCACCGACGCCGACGTCATTGCCGCCGTGCCAGGAGCAGAACAACACTGCAATGGCCTTGGCCCCGCTGGCTGACTTGTCCCCCTTATGTGGGGACACGTGCTGTTTCCTTCGGGTCTCGCAGGGCCTATCCCTGCCTGGGGGTGCTGAGATACCACGGCCCAAGATGCTCAGGAGCGGCGCTCGCAACCGAGGCTGGATAGCTGCTTGGAAACCGACAAACACGCCTGAAAACCTCGAACCTAGAGCATATCCCCCCCGCACCGTTGCCCCTGAATTGAGACGATGCTGAAAGTGGAAAAAGAACACACACACACACGATAAACATACACTTTCGGAGGTCCGCGCAGATTCTTGATGACGGCACTGGGCCACCTCCTTTGCGCGCGGAGCGCACCAGGGGCGGCACCAGAGGCGCGGTCAGGGAGGCCCAGCGCAGAACAAACAAATCCGCGCGGACCTCATACAAATCATGTTTGCGCAGTGCCAATAACAACTTGCTCAGAAGCCGAGCGCGGGGATCGCCGGATCTGCAATCGTTCGGGCGCTTTGGTCTCCCATGGTCTCCCATCTCAACTCCCATGTCTTCATATGTTTGGAAATCTTCTGCCATATATTTGAGATCTTTCACGACGTCGACCTCTGGAGGTCTGGACCGGACCCTTTCCTGGGACTGACTTTCCGTCATCCGCAATTTTCTGACGGCCCTGGGGTCCAGTACGAGCCCTCGGAAACTGAAAATAGAGAAAACCTTCCGCCGTGACTTTTGCGAGTTCCCCCCCCGATCGTTGCCCTTGAAGTGAGACGAACTGAGGCGAGCGGCCTTCCGTGGCCTCCCATCTCGAAGCAAGCTGGTAATGCGAGTCGAAACGACGCCGACACAAAGTCGGTCGCCGGACCCCTCCCACGGTCCAAACGCACCAATTTTCGGAGCTGCGTCCAGCCGAGGCGGCGAGGGCCCCCTCTCCCCCGAGGGGCAACTGCCGCTGTCTAAACTCGCCGTCCGCTGAGCTCGGGGCGTTTTCGGCCGCGAGCTGCGTCCGGTCGTAGCGGCGAGGAGTTTACCCGCGGTCCAACTGCCGCTGTCTCAACTCGCCCCCCTCTGACGTTCGCTGTTCGTTTGGTGTCAGGGTCATAACTCGTACCTCTGGCAGCCGCCCTGGACGATCCAGGCCCCCCGTGGATCGCTCTCGACGAAGCGCCGCTGCTGGAGAGCATCCCGAAGATGGACAGCTGGCGAGAACCGACGGAAACGTCCGGAAACCTCGAACCTTAAACCTCGCCCGTAAACCTCGCCCTCCGCTGAGCTCAGGGTCTTCTCGGCCGCAGGGGTGACATGGTGACGTGTTTCCCTCGACCGAAACGAGCGGCCTGTCGCGCCCGACAACCCCGTCGCGGAGTGCTCCGGGTGCTCGGCGCGCGCTGCGGCGATGGCCTCGAGAGGCGGGGCGGGGCGGGAAGGAACGGCCTGCCCCGCGCGGCTCGGGGGGGCGACAGGGTAGGATATCAAAAGCTGGCAGCGCGCAGAGGGGGAATAGGGGGAGGGGGGATACACTTCGAAAACACTTCCCGAGGCGACTTGGGTCGCGCGGAAAGGGGGGGGGGGGGGGGGGGGGGGGCGCGCGCCGCGGCCCCACGGCCGCGCCCTGGCCAGCGGGCACCGAGACTTGCGCGGCCCTGCCCCCCAGGCGACGGCCCTTCTCGCGCAGACCAAGCGGCCACTGCCCGTCCGCGCCCTCTCGGGCGCCCCCTCTCGCCCGGAGGCTGCCACTGCCCTCGCAAGCTGGCAGCGTCCGCAGACGGCTGCCAGTGCCATCGCCGAAGGCGGGGCCCACGGCAGCGGCGGGGTGCGTAGGGTTAGTGGCAGAAAACTCCACCGCTTGCCGCGCCCGTTCCCTGGCGCCCCGCGTCTCAGCACTTGGCTGGGCGTTCCCTTCCTTCGCGAGCCCTGCGTTTTGCGCGGGCCGTGATGCGCGGCCCGTGCAGCACCCTCTGCTGCTGCTCTGCCTCAGCCTCGCGCGCGGGCCTCGACTGGCACGGCGACCACTTGCTGGCGATGGCCCGCCGCGCTTCCCGCGTCGCCTGGCTGACCCCTCACCCGCGCTCGTTTCGCACGCGCTGCCCCCCAGCGCTGTAGCTGACGATATAGTGTTCTAGCTTTGCCTGCCCCTTCTCGCACGTCCTGGCCCCAACGCTGTAGCTGATGGTATCGGGCTCTACCTTCACCTCCCACTTCTCGCACGCGCTGCCCCCAGCGCTGTAGCTGACGATATTGGGCTCTAGCTTCGCCTGCCCCTTCTCGCGCGCCCTGGCCCCAGCGCTGTAGCTGATTGTGTCGGGCTCTACCTGCGCCTCCCGTTTCTCGCACGTGCTGCCCCAAGATCGCCATTCGCCTTCTGCTGCCGCTATCCGCCCTTGTCGCACTGATCGCCGCTCTCGCGCGCGCAATGTCTGTCCTCGCGGGGCGTCCACTTCCCGTCCGTCGAAGGCTGCCGCTGTCCGCCCACTTGAGGCTGCCACTGCCCGTCCTTCTCGCGCGCATGAGGCTGCCACTGCCCATCTTTTTCACCAGCCCTGGCCCTTTCCAGAGGTAAAACAAAAATATTACATTTGTTCTAACAGAAAACCTCCTCTGTCGGCCGACCTGGCCTCCTCCACGCTTGATGCTGTCACTGTCCGTCCTTTTTCGCGCACGCGAGATCAGACTTTTTGAGGCCGCCACTGCCCGATTTTCTCGCATGGTCGGTCCTGGCCCTCACGGAACTGCCACTGCCCGCTCCTCTCGCACGCACAAGGCCCGACCCCATCTCGGCTGCCACTGCCAGTCCGCTCGTGGCGACCACTGCCTGTCCGGATGGCGTCGGGCTCTACCTTCGCCTTCCAACGCTGCCGCTGCGCGCTGAGGAGCCAGCTGGAGTCCTGCACGCTGCCAGGCGCAAGCGCCGCCACGCGCGCCGTCGGCTGCTGCTTGGGCGCCTCTCCCAAACTGGGGGCGCGCACGAGCCTTCGCCTTCGGCCATCGGCGGTGCCTGCCTTCGCGCCTTCCCTCGGCGCTGGGGGCGTCCCGTGATCGCGGGCCCGGCCGCGCCCACCGCGGGGCGAAACAGCTGCGCGGGGCCTGTGCCGAGCCACCTGTAGGGGGACGGGGGGGGGGGGGGGGGGGAACTGGCTATATAGAACTAGAACCACGCGCGCGCTTCGCGCGCGCTTAGGTTCTGTCGAGTCGCAGACCCAGGAATCGTTGTGAGAAGAAACTGGGGGCGCGAAGTCGAAGCCAATCTGGCGCCAATCTGGCGGCCCCTATCGGGCAAAAATTGGCAATCTGGCGGAGGAGCCAGCGAGGTAACAGACTGGCGAGCAAGTAGAAATCTCCAACCTGGCCACGCCAGAGTGGCCCCTGGAACCCAAGGCAATCTGTCAGTCTGGCATTCGGCTGTCGAGGAGAAGGGCGAAACACTGGAAACGCAAAGTCGTCTCAAAATCGACCCCGGGACTCCGGACGCTCCAACGTTTCGGGCTGCGCCCAGCCGCTGCGACGAGGGGTCCTAGACCAAGGTGCCCCCAGGACTCCCCGGGAAGCTTCGGCGGCGTCCACAGCACCCCTCCTCCTCCTTCTCCTGCTCCTCCTCTTCCTCCTCCTCCCTCTCCTCCTCCTCCTCCTCCTCCTCCTCCTCCTCCTCCTCCTCCTCCTCCTCCTCCTCCTCCTCGTCTTTCCTCCTCATCCTCGTCCTTTCCCGAGCGATACAATAACAACTTGCGTGGAACCCCTCTCGGGCCCATCTTGGGGCTCTCTTGGGCCGCCTTTGGAGCCTCTTGGGGCGTCCTGGGTCTCTCGTGGGGGCTTCTTGGAGCTCTCTTGGCGCCTCCTGGAGCCTCTTGGGGCCGAAAGCTCGGAATTCTACAGTGGCTTTCTCCCTCTGGGACCCCTCTCGGGCACGCCTTGGGGCTCTCTTAGGCCATTTTGGAGTCCAATTTTGCCGTCCTGGGCGCCTCGTGAACCGTCTTGGAACTCTCTTGGGGGCCACCTAGGCCGTCTTGGGAGCCTCTTCGGACGTGTTGGACGCGGTGAACACCCAACAGGCGACCATGCGAAAAGTATACGTTTTCCCATAGGAATGGGACCATTTTTGCTTCTTGGACCTCTCTTGGGGTGCCTCTCGGAACGTCTGGGGCTGATTTTGGAAGCCTTTTGGCGCCTCTGGGCGGCGTTTTGGCGCCTCCTGGGATGTGTTGGGCCGGAAGCTCGGAATTCGAGAGTGGCTTTCTCCTTCTGGGACCCCTCTCGAAGTCGTCTTGGGGTTCTCTTGGGCCGTCTTGGGGCCGTCCTGAGCCACTCGCGCGCAGCCTTGGAGCGCTCCCGGAGGCCTCCTAGGCCGTCTTGGAGGCCTCTTGGGCCGTCTTGGACGCGGTGAAAGCCCAAGATGCGAACATGCGAAAAATATACGTTTTCCCATAGGAATGGCACGATTTTTGTTTCTTGGACCTCTCTTGGGGTGCCTCTCGGAACGTCTTGGGGTGCTTTTGGGAGCCTTGTGGCGCCTCTTGTCGGCATTTTGGCGCCTCCTGGAGCCAGAGGGCCGGAAACTCGGAATTCGAGGTTGGCTTTCTCCGTCTGGGACCCCTCTCAAACTCGTCTTGGGGCTCTCTTGGGCCGTCTTGGGGCCGTCCTGGGCCTCTCGTGCGCAGCCTTGGAGCGCTCCTGGAGGCCTCGTAGACCGTCTTGGGCGCCTCTTGGGCCGTCTTGGACGCGATGAAAGCCCAAGAGGCGAACATGCGAAATATATACGTTTTCCCATAGGAATGACACGATTTTTGCTTCTTGGGCCTCTCTTGGGCTGCCTCTCGGAGCGTCTTGGAGGCCTCTGGGACCGTCTTGGTGTCATGACAGGCGTCTTGGAAGGCATCTGGAGCCATCGGAGCGCGTTCCGAAGCCGCCTGCGAACGATCTTGGACGGCGTCCAGCGGTCCGACGAGCCTCTGGGCCCCCCGGGGCCCACATTTGCGGTCGAGGTCCCGGCCCCGGGTCCCCGGAACCGGTGCGCCGTTATATGTATAGGAGGCTACTTCTTAGAAGGCGCCGGCCTTACAGCTATAGACAAGACCCGCGCATTCTGAAGAAAGGGTGTTTTTAAGAATCCGTCCCCCCTTCCCCTCCCCCCCCGCGCGTGGCTGAAAAAAGCAAGGTCGAGAATCAGCTCGCGTAGCTGGTCCTCCTGGGGCGGGATGGACCCGGCGGCGGGGCGGAAGCCAGCCTCATGCCGCAAATTTCGTATCCTCCCCCTTTCACGATCTACCGACCCAAGTCAATCCAGACCCGGGTCAGTCAGGCTTCGCAGGATCCTGAATGATCCCGCAGGATCCTGCGCCCAAGCGTGGATCAGTGCGCCGCTGGCCCTGCAGGATCCTGCAAGATCCGGCGCTCTGGCTGACCCCCGTCTGCATTGACCCCCGTCTCCTCTTGAGCACCCGTATCTTACCATTTCGTCTGGGCCGGGAGAGGGAGGGGGGCGGGGCGGGAAACAACGGGCCGCCACCCGCGGAGCAGGGAGACGAGGGCTTCAGCACTTCGGGTATCCGAAACGGTGGCTTGGGCGTGATTGAGCTGGTGTGCAGCAACACCTTGAAGCATCATATTCTGAATCCCGCATTCCTACCTAATTCCAAATGGTGGTTCACAGGGTGGGGGTCCTGCGTAGACCGTCTGCGGAACGGGCGCACCACCACGTAGACGACGAAATAATGACCACATCAGCGCAAACAGACAGCAATAACCACCATTGCACTGATCACACAATTGTTCATTCCAAGACATGTTCCATCTCCGCCTGTTCCTCCTCTTGGCAGCGAACCCAGGGATAAGGCAGAGGGGGCGGCGTTTCTCAGAAAGCCTCCAGCCCTGTGATTAGCTCAGCCTCCTCCGAAGGCACAGACGGCTTCGCAGAAAACGCGGGGGCTTCTGAGAATCCCTACCGCTTTCTGAGAAGGCCTGCCCCGTTTCACTGCCCCCCTGGGCTCGCCGCCGATCCTCGTTCTCTCGGATCGGACGAACGGTAGAGGCAGCAATAGAGGCATCACACCCTGCATAAACAAAAATTACAACCACGCGCGCGCTACGCGCGCTTAGATTCTAATCAACTCCGAAGACCTCGTCCTGATCCTCCTCCTCCTCATGAGCTATGTCCTCATCCGCTCTCGTGGCACGCAGGCGCGATCCCGGCGTCGACGTCGTCGTCGGCGTCGTAGCCGCCGTCGTCGTCGTGGTCGCGGGCGGGGGAAGGGGAAAAGTCGGGAGGGTAGCGACTGAAACCGGCAGGTTATCTGACACTTACCTGCAAGGTTAAGTCGCCCCGAAGCTGCTGGTGGCAGAGTTAAGTGATTCCCACGCTGGGCGCACCAGCCCAGAACCGATTTGACTCCGGAATCTAATCGCCGCGG